TTCAGCCTTAGGTCATCCTCCCGATGCGTAATGGGCTTTACAAATATAATTTTGTTGTGGTTAAATACAGTCAATGCTTTTCGCTTCAACCACAACTTAAAAGTCTAGGATTATGCTCCAATTTAGTGCTAAAAGGAGTATTGGATTCTCAGAAGTGTCATCCTTCAGATGAGATGTTAAAGCAAAATGCCCAATTTGTTCAGATGGATGCCAAAGATCCTGTGGAAGACAGAAGAAAGTTCCTCTCTCCCAGTGTGCTGGCCTGACAATCCCCCAGATAAAATTATTCACTTGACTGTATGACACTGATGTGTTTGCAAATTGGCACTTTTAGAGCTCCGAAGGACAATTTCCAAAGTGACAACAGGAAGTATTTCTCTACGTAGAGAGTAACTCACACTCGGAATAGGGTTACCAGGATGGGTAGTTAAGGCTGGGACATCAGACTCATTTAAGAACCATCCTGATGCTGTGATGGTAAGGGTGCGTATTCTGGAAGGACAAAATGAAATAAAAATAATAACAGTGATGGCATTTGATGCAGCACCTTACTTACCGTGTCATTGAGATGCCTCAAAGTGCTTCCCAGTATACACTACAAAGTGTAGTGACTGTTTATTTTGTGGGCAAAAGTAGCAGCCGATTTGCGTACTGCAGGGTCCCCAAAACAGTCATGAGGTGAGCGACCAATTTTACTTGGAGGATTGTTCACCAGAAGAGAGAAACTCCCTTTTGCTTTTGAGTAGCGGGATCTTTGTCATCCACCTGAACAGGCAGACGGGACCTTGGTTTAACGTCTCATCCGACGGACAGTAGCTCTGACAATGCAGTGCATCCCCATCACTGCATTGGAGTCTCAGCAGGAACCATATGGGTTTCAAATCCCACAACCTTCTGATACAATCAGAGGTGAGGGTGCCGTTACTGACCGAACCAGGCTGATACGTGAGACGAAGAACCTTCTTGGTGTCCATCCCCCTTGCGATCCTGTGAGGAAGCAGAATTTTGAGTTCAGAGCATCGAAATGTGGCACCAAACCTCAAATGCTTGTTTTGATCTCGCGCTAACAATCAGCTGGATTTTTGGAACATACCTCCTCGGAATAGACAAGCAATTACACTGGAATGTGGTTGTAAGGTTGGATAAAAGATTGGTCTCAAGTCAGATTTACCTGGAAGTAGACTGGATCGACCTGTCTATAATCAACGTTATCAATGTTAACCAGGCTTCTGTTCTCTACCACATCACGATTCCTCCGTTCGCCCCCCCCCACCCCACCACCCCGCGCAGGTCATCTCCTCCAACCTTCACTGCAGGAGGAAACCAAGTGTGGCTGTCCAGGGGGTTGTTAAAGATCCCATGGCACCGCTCACGAGAGAAGTTTTTTTTTCCTGGTGTCCTGGCCGACAATCCCAGATAAAATCGGTCTTTCTCTCCACTTCTGTTTGTTGTACGGTGCTACGGGCAAACTGGCCACTGCGTTTTTCTCACAAAGAGTACGGTCGCTGCACACTCCAGAAGATCCTGCAAAGTGCTTTGATTCATTCTTCTGATGCCAAAGGCGTTACTTCAAATGAAGAATTCTGATGGAATGCTATCTAAGCCTCTGGTTAAAATTCAATAGACCTCTAATTTTCTTGCTAAATTCTCCACATATTATTCAGTGCCTTGAGCTGCTCCTTTGCACGAAAGGCTGAGTGTAAATGCACGGGTTATGGCAAGGTAAACCGTAAAGGATTATTACTCTGGTTGGTCAGTATTTAGAAGGGAAAGTGGTAATCAGATGAACGGATGTTAGAAGAAAACGGCCTTTACGCAATGGGTGGTAGGAATGTGGACCTCTTTGTCACAAACCCTAGTTAACGTGGTGTTCTTGCATTAAAGGAAATCAGATGGATAATAATAATAATAATACTTGCATTTAATATAGTGCCTTTTCACGACTTCAAGACGTCTCAAAGCATTTCACAGATACTGTAAAGTGAATTGACTGTATATAATTGCTTTGATGAACCTGTTGGGCGAGCAAATAGGAGTTGTTGGACTTAATTGCTCTGTGATTTTCACAGATCCACAAGGTTGTTGTTAACATTTCAATACCCAGAATTAAGTACAAACCCAGTCATTCTTTTCTACGTATTTCACGGAAGAGTTGTTCTACCCGGGGCTGAGTCCTAAATAGCGAGGGTACAGCATTCTTGTCTTTCAACCTGAACAATTACCTTCACCCTATCCACTCCACTTTTAGCTATTTGAAGCTCGTGTTGAGCATCATTCTCCAAAGGGTATGGTATTGGGATTATACTGAGAAACGTACATGATTGTGTTTGCCATCTAACCTCCAGATCATTCACAATGACATGATAAATTCCTTATTAAGACGCATCGGGTATGTTCACAGAATAGACTCTACAGTGAATTGACTGTACATTTGAGGACGAAAATGGCGGCAGGCAATTGCGCACAGCAGCGTCCCACACAAACAGTCGTGGATCGCGTAACCAAATTATTATTAAGATTATTATTTTTGAGGGATTATTATCCCCGGAAAAACAATCTGCCAATCGTCTAACAACCGGGTCCCTACTTACAGCTGAGTAAACAGAGGTGTGCGTGTGTGGTGTAAGGAAACTTCTCCCAACGTCTCGCCCTGCCCGCCCAGGAATCTAACGCGGGTCCTTTCGCTTGCAAGGCAAGTGCTCTAACCTGTGTCTATGGATGTCGTTTACATGGACTTCCAAAAGGCATTTGATAAAGTTCCACACAAAAGATTATCAGCAAAAATAGAAGCGCACGGAATTGGAGGTAACCTTGTGACGTGACTTCGCAATTGGTTGGGAGGGAGAAAACAGCGGGTAGGGATTCAGGGAATGTTCTCTGATTGGGTTGGACGTGACAAGTGGTGTCCCCCAGGGGTCTGTACTGGGACCTCAGCTTTTTGCCATATACATAGATGACTTGGATGAAGAAATAGAAAGTTTTATCTCCAAGTTTGCGGATGACATTAAGATAGGAGGCTCAGCAAGTAGTGAAGATGGGAGTAGGAAGTTACAGAGGGACTTAGACAGATTAAGTGAGTGGGCAAAACTGTGGCAGATGGAGTTCAATGGAGGGAAGTGTGAGGTCATCCACTATGGACCGAAAAAAGATAGGGCAGAATACTTTCTTAACGGGGAGAAATTAAGAGCTGTTGAAGAGCAAAAGGATTTGGGTGTCCATATCCACAAATCACTAAAAACTAATTCCCAGATGCAAAACATAATCAAAAAGGCAAATAGTATGTTGGTCTTTATCTCAAGGGGCCTGGAATACAAAGGGGAAGAAATGATACTTCAGCTGTATAGAGCGTTAGTCAGACCCCACCTGGAGACTGCGATCAGTTTTGGGGCACCACACCACAGGAAAAGGCTGCATAAACTTGGATTGTATTCCCTCGAGTTTAGAAGATTGAGGGGTGATTTGATAGAGGTTTTTAGGATGAAACAGGGATTTGATAGGGTAGATGCAGAAAAGCTATTTCCTATATTGGGGAATGCAAAACAAGGGGGAATAGTCTTAAAATTAGAACCAGGCCATTTAACAGTGAAATTAGGAAGCATTTTTTCACTCAAAGGGTGGTAGGAATCTGGAACTCTCTCCCCCAAAAGGTCTTGGATGCTGGATCCATCCACACATTTTTGGTAGGTCGGGGTATTAAGGGATACGGAGGGAAAGCGGGAAATTGGATTTGAAATTCTAGTAAAGGTACAGATCAGCCATGATCTAATTAAATGGTGGAACAGGCTCGATGGGTTGAATGGCCTACTCCTGTTCCTATGTTCCTATAACTGCTGAGCTACAGGGTATTCTCGTCTTGGATCAGAAGGCAGTAGATGTAAGAAACAGGTCAGGGATCTCGCTTGCTAGGCTTACACTCCTGCGGAGGTGCCGTTCTTCAGGTGAGATATTGAGCTGAGCTCCCCAACCCCCTGTGCAGGTGGGTGTCAATAATCCCCACGACTCGAAAAGAGAAGGGAATCTCTCTCTCCTGGTTTACAGGCCAACAATCGCCCAAATAAAATTGGCCACTCACTTCATGGCTGTTTGTGGGACACTGCTGGGCGCTTAGCGGGTACTGCATTCCCCCCACACCACACCCAGTCACTGCGCTTTGCAGTATATTCTCACTCCCAAATGATAAGGTGCTGTATCAGATGCAAGGATTTTATTATTATTATGAAGCATTAGTTAGGCCACAATTTACCTGTGAAGTGCACCTTAATCACCACTTGATTATTATCATTGATTACTGCAAAACTCCATAATTTCTTCCCTATTGTATTTGGGTCATCAATTTTGTTTTGCAGATTGTAGATCACGGAACCAAGTTTCAAGTTTAAAGGAGCCATGTTTCAAGTTTAAAGGTTCTTCCCTTTAAACTTGAAACAATCTTGTTCGGCCAGTTTGTAAGAGGCTAAACTGGATCTCGAACCTTTGCTTCGTTGGTCGGATAATACGATAAAAAGATTTGAATGGATAAGAATTAACACCTTTCTCTTTCCCCGCATATTTCACAGTAAACCAGGTGAATCGCTTTGGGCTCAATAGGGTTCAAGCCCCAATGTTAGGGACTTTGGGCTCTCAGTCTAAGCTGACACGCCAGTGCAGTGCTGAAGGCCGCTATATAAGTACAAGTTGTTATTGTTGTTGGAAGGCAAACTGGATGGACCTTTGGTCTTCTTTCAAACAGCAAATCCTCATGTTCTTACGTTCTTATTCCAATGCAGGTTTGCTGGATTCGACATCAATGGCAGGATTTGACACTCTTGCTCAGCTATCGCATGAAACCTATTCTACAATGACACATGTTTACTCCCATTGTTTAGAAGGAAGGAACAGATATTAGATGCAAACATTTATTTTTGCTAGAATCTGGAATGTGGTTTTCCCCTTGAGAACCAAGCCCAAATCAAGATGCTTTAACACCACATTCCATACAACTCCCATCTGATCAGTGCACATCTTGCCAATGTAATGCTGTGCGTCGCTGGTCTATATAAAGAGCTCTCGCAGAAGAAACATCTCACAGGTCCTTTGAAGAGATTCGTTAGAGGGACAAGGAAATCTCATTGACACGTCCTTTGACTTCAAGGCATCAAGTGTCTGTCAGATTTTCGAACCGGCTTCCAACCAAGCACTTGAGAGAGAAAAGGGGGGGAAAAAAAAGAAAGGCAACATGTACAGGAGAACCCACTCATCCTCTTCCACCTCGTCTTCCTCTTCTCTGAAGAGGGTGAACATCTCCACCAGCGGCCATACTACGGGTAACATCAAGCTCAGCACCTCGTCGATTGAGTCAGCGTCTAATATGAAAAGCGAGAAGCTCACTTCTCCCATTCACATAGCAGAGCATCACTCACTGAGCCACCTCAACCTGGAAACTAGTTCCAACATCCAGCACATCCGAGAGGAGGAAAAGGAACAGATCAAGTTGCTCAACAACAAGTTTGTTTCCTTCATTAACCGGGTAATCATCCTCTCCTTGATACTTGTTGTTGTTGTTATTGGGTTTCTCTTTGTTGTCTTAAGGTTATTTACTGCCTTTGTGGATTTTTTTTTCACATGGGCAACAAGTTGCTTCCAATTCCCATCCATTAATATTTTGTAAAATTATTATCAAGAATAATAATAATCATTTGATACATACAGCGCCTTTCATGTCGGGAGGACGCACACCTGAAACGCTGTGAAAGGAGGTGTAGGTGGGTGGGATGCATGTGTGGGGCTCTCCGTTGTGTTTGGACACTCTTAAGCGCGGTGATGGGTTTCCGCGTGTCTCAGACATGTAAGTAGTTGGTAAACAGGCCGAAGAGCTATTCTCTATCTGATCCCACTGTCCTGCTCGCTCCTGATATCCTTCAATATGAAGCAATAAGGGGAGAGACGACCGAAAGCGCGGTCAAAGAAGTACGTTTTGAGATGAGGCGAGCGAGTGAAGCAGAGGAACCTGAGATTGGAGCACGAAGTGGGCTGAAACGTGCGATACAAAGCGCTTCTAAATGTTGTTGTTGCTGTTGTTGTTGTTGCTATTGCTGTTGCTGAGGTGAACACGAGCGTCTGACTCTCCTCCGTTCCGGCCTTTAGGTCCGTTACCTGGAAGAAGAGAACCAGAAGCTCGAGACCAAATGGAAACTGCTCCAGAACCAAGGCTCGTTCAGCTCCAACATGGACCACATGTACGGGAGCTACACCGAGTCCCTCAAGAGGCAGGTGGAGAACTTCGGACAAGACACCGTCAAGCTGACCGGTGAACTCGATAAGATGCAGGGGGTCATGGGAAATTTCAAATTAAAGTGAGTAGCCAACAGCAACAACTTGCATTATGTATACAGAGTCTGTCGAATAGGGTAGAGCACTCGTCTCGCAAACGAGAGGACCTGGGTTCGATTCCCGGTCGGGGCGAAACCTTAGGAGAGTTCCCTTACTCCACACACACACGGCTCTGCCCCCACATTCTGGAACTCTATCCCTCAATCCCTCTACCTCCCCCCCACCCCCCCCCCCCCATCCCTTGGGCCTCCTTCAAGTCCCGTCTTAGACCTTAGTTATTCACCAAAAACGCGTCCCTTACAACTTTGCAGAGAGCATCGAGGTACCGGCCAGCCAGGTGTGTAATTTAGCGGCAGGTATAACCTCTGTTAGGCGTTGAGCTGGCTAAATGCTCGCCTTTCGTTCCTAGGTATGAAGATGAGTTGAACAGGCGTGCTGGGTTTGAAAACGACTTTGTGATCTTGAAGAAGGTACGGTTTTTTGCTGGGATTCAAATGGACATTTATTCCGCTTTCTAACCCTCAGGTGTCAGCCTGGCCTCGGCCCCCACGTCAGGTCTTTGAGCTCCCACTGGCTATTTCGGGGACGTTGCTGTGCGCAAAGTTGGCTGTTGTGTTTGCCAACAGAACACACGGTCGTTAATCACACCTCACAGTAAATCCGGTGAAGGGTTTTGAGATGTCTTGTCAGGTCAATATCGAATGCGAGGGTCAGTATTTCTGTCATTAACGTGGTTGTTTTTCTTCCCCTTTCAGTCTGTGGATGACTCCTACCTGGACAAACATCAGCTTGCAGATAAGGTGGAGGGCTTGGAAAGTGAGATCGAGTTCTACAGACATGTGTACAGTGAGGTAAATCTCTTACCTGCTCGTCGCGAGCAATATCATTCATTAATCATCACCTCCGTTTGCCTACAACAACAACAACAACAAGATTCCATTTATAAAGCGCCTTTCACGTCAGGAGGACGTCCCAAGGCGCTGCACAGTTGGGTCATGACCCGAGCAGGGGGGAAATGGTCAGGGTGAGGGGAGGGAAGGGAGGGAGAGAGGAGGGGGGGGGGGGGGGGGGGGAGGGGGGGGGGGGGGGAAGAGAGTCGAGAGGGGAGCTGAAGGCTCGGTCAAAGAGAAAGGTTTTGAGACCGGCCTTGAAGGGCTGAAGGCTCGGTCAAAGAGAAAGGTTTTGAGACCGGCCTTGAAGGAGGAAAGGGGGGGGAGGGGGCGAAGGCACTGGGGATGGAGTTCCAGAGCCTCGGGGCTGAGAGGCTGAAGGCCCGACCACCGATGGTAGGGCGGTTGGGGCGGGGGACGTGGAGCAGCCTAGCAGTAAGCGGGAACCCGGTTGTGAGTCGATTGTCGGATCGCTTTCCAGTGGAAGGGCAATAACCCCTTGAAAACATTTTTAAAACACTAATTCGGCCATTTCAATCCACGGCTGTTCGTGGGGGGGACGCTCCCTGTGCGCAGTTGGCTGCCGCGTTTCGCCCACAAAAGAAATATACGGTGAATTCACTTTTGCAGTGCGTCCTGTGAAGTGTTTGGAGACGTCTCGAAGAGGTGATAAGAAACAGGAGGAGGCCATTCAGCCCCTCGAGCCTGTGCCGCCATTCTATGAGATCGTGGCTGATCGGTACCTCACGTCCAGTTACCCGCCCTTGCCCCGTATCCCTTAATACCCTGACCTGACAAATATAAGGCGCTATATCGAATGCAAGGAGTATTATTATTATTTTTATTCAAGTTTTCCTGTGTTCTTCAAAAAAAAATCTTCGTCACACGTCTCTCTCTCTCTCTCTGACCCCCGATGACAGCAAGTGAATGAACTGCAAGATCAGGTCAAGGACATTGCTGTCACTGTTGAAGTGAATAACTCTCGCAGCCTGGACCTGGATCAGTTGATCGTGGACGTGAAGGCCGAGTACGCTGCCATGGCAAGCAAGACCCGAGAGGAAGCAGAGACAATGTACACAACCAAGGTAACGCTTGGTTAAACCAAGCCCCCCCCCACCCCCCACCACCACCCCCACACCCCCCGTCCGTTCCGTGCCCTGTTCAGGCAGACGTCGAAATCAGGAAATCAAAAGCAATCCAATGCCTTAATAACATCATTGCCGCTTTCCGATATTAATCGGTAAATAACTTATCCTGCGGCTCACGTTTTATTCGAGCGCTCCGAGGTGTCGTTGCTGCGGGCGAAACGCAAAATGGCCGACTTCAGGGTCGGAGAGGTCGCCACAGATGTCGTGTCCTGTTCGGGTGGGTCAGTAATTGATGCCTCTCTTGCTGATGTTCCCATGTTGAATGTTCCCTTCGGTTACAGTACAATATATTGGCTCAGTCAGCTGGACAACACGATACTGACATCCGTTCCATGAAGGCCGAGATCACGGATTCCACCCGGAAAATCGGGAGATTAACCACAGAGATCGAATCTCTTACGGCTCTGGTGAGCGAGCGAGACTGGCGATGATGGGCTTCAATTAGGGTTGGAAGCAGAACATCGGGCGTCAGCCTGGCGCAGTCGGTAGCACACTCTCGACTCTTGAGTCAGAAGATTGTAGCTCGGTGGTTAGACCGCCCGCCTCGCAAGCGAGAGGACCTGGGTTCGATTCCCGGGCGGGTCAGGGTGAAATGTTGGGCAAGTTTCCTTACTTCACACGCACACGCACACGCACACGCCCCTCTATTTACCCACCAGTAAGTAGGATCCTGCTTGTCATTCGATTGGCGGATCTCTTTTCCAGGGGGTAATAATTCCTTCCAAAAAAAATAAATAAATTGGCCACTCAATGCACGACTGTTTGTGGGGGGACACCGCTGTGCGCAATCGGCTGCCGCGTTTCGCCCACAAAATACACAGTCAATTCACTTGACAGCGTATCCCGTGAAGCGCTTTGAGACGTCTCAAAGACGTGATGAGGCGCTGTGTCAAATGCCGGGATTATTATTATTAGAAGTTTGTGGGTTCAAGACCTACGCCAGGACAGTCGAGACTGTCCCAGAGTCTCGGCCGACCAGAGACATAGCGCTGCTTTGTCGGAAGCTCCGTCCTTCGGATGAGACATCAAACCCAGTTTGTCCGTTCAGATGGCCGTTAAAAGATCTCTCTCTGTTTCAGCGTGTCAGCTTGGAGGCAGCAGTGATTCAGGCCGAGGAAACGGGAGAGATGAGCCTGAAGAACTCCAAGGTGAGGGTACTTCAACTGGAAGACGAAATCCAACAGGCCAAGCAAGCTATGGCTTTACAAGTGCGCCAATACCAGGAAATGCTGAGCGTGAAGTTGGCCCTCGATATTGAGATTGCCACCTACAGGAAACTCCTGGAGGGAGAGGAGTACAGGTAAAGCACAACTCACGCCCTCTACCCTGACGCGCTCTATCCAGTGCTGGGTGGAGTGCACTGCTTTTTCAAGGCGCCGTACTTTGGGCGAGACTGAGCTCCCCGTCTGTGGCCCTGCTCGCTATTCGAACAGAGATCAGAGTTTTCCTCTCCCCTCCCTGTGTTACGCCCGACAATCCTCGCCTCGCCTGCCTCGCCCGACAAGGGGCGAGGCAGAGGGACTGCGGGATGGAGTGCAACAGCTTACATTTATGTAGCACTCCTCCACCCACTGTAGCATCCCAAAGCGCCCGCTCCCACAGACAGATAAAACTGGTGGCTCGCTTCAACAACAACAACAAAATTACATTTGTATAACGCCTTTCGGGGACATTCAGGGATTTGGATCTGAGCTGGGGGTTCGGACAAGGGGGAGAGTGGCAGCCAGGGGTAGGAGGGTGGGTGGCCGAAGGCGTAGTCAAAAAGAAGAGGAGGGTCTTGAGAAGTGCCTCGATTGGAATTTCAGGACCTCCTCAACCTGCTACCCCCCCCCTCGTCTTACTCTGCGTAGCTTGTAGGAGGAAAGATTCTACACGCCTGAGCAAACGGAACTCAACTTGGGGGAAGGAGATCACAGAAGGAGATTAAACGTTCATCCAAAACATTTTCCCGATGTCCTAATTAGGAAACGCGCCTTTTTAAAAACATTTTTACACACCTAACGCTCTCTCTCCCCCTCTCTCTCTCTCCGCACAACCTCTGAACGAGTTCGGCCACAGCAGCATTTCCCGCACGCAGAGAACGTAATTTCAATAACTTTTGCATTTCAGGGTGGGACATCACCAAAAAGGGATTGTCCATGTCAATGCTCACTCGGCAAGAGGTAAGTTGTTGAATCACGTGAAAGGGTTTGAGGCATTAATGATTGCCCCGTCTCTCACTCCCAACCCGTCCACCCCCATCGTTTAGGCTGACGCTGCGGTGCTGGTGAGAGCACTGTACTGTTGGTTGAGTCATTAAACCGAGCTGCTTACGCGTCCCGTTCTGGTGGACTTTAAAGATACCTAACCTAACTACTAGAGTGCAGTAGCTCAGTGGTTAGAGCGCTCTCGCCTCGCAAGCGAGAGGAACCTGGGTTCGATTCCCGGGCGCGTCAGGTCAGGGCGAAATGTTGGGCAAGTTTCCTTACTCCCCACACACACACACACACACACACACACACGCGCGCGCCTCTAGTATCCCAGCAGTAGGAACCCGGTTGTTAGTCGATTGGCAGATCGCTTTTCCGGGGGTGTAATAATTCCTTCAAAAAAATAATAATAATAACTTGGTCGCAATCCACGACTGTTTGTGGGGGGGACTCTGCTGTGCGCAATTGGCCGCCGCGCTTCGCCCACAAAATACACAGTGAATTCACTTCACAGTGTATCCCGTGAAGGGCTTTGAGACGTTTGGAAAGACGTGACAAGGCCCTGTATCAAACACGAGGATTCTTCTGTTATCGTTAAATCGATCTGTCTGGTATTCGGACTCAAAAACTAAGGACCTTCCTTTCCTTTTCTTTCCTTTCCTTCAGTTCACGAAGATAAGTTTTCATCTCAATCCCTGGTGTCCGAGATTCCGTATGTGGAGTCCCAGAAGAGGAATGTGCTGGTGAAGACCGTTCAGTCATCAGTGCGCTCTGTGCAATAGTGAGCGAGCAGCTGCGGCTGATCTCAGCTCCCTCTGCCCAGTCACTCGGCAGACGATTCCTTTTCTGTATCGCAGGGCTTAAAATGTTGCTTCTATCCTATCGCTCGCACCCGCTCTTCCCTTCCGGCCACTGTGAGAGGCTCCACACGGGTTCATTCCTCTCGGCAGAGTCTCCAATCCCGCTTGATTCCAACCCCGGGAAAAATTGTGGGAGAAATTTGTGGTATGCCTTAACATCAGTTGAATCAACGCAGTTGTTAATGGAGTTAAGGATTGTCTTTAGGATGGCCGCAAACTCCCACTAACACCCCGCCTCCCCCCCCACCCTCCCAACCCACCCACCCAACCCCGCCACCCAGCGCCACACTCAAGAGTGTCAGCAGCAGAAAGATCCTATAGTAATGTAATTAACGGGTATTTTCACTGGCTTTGAATCCTCTGCGAGTCAGATCAGATCTTTTGAGTGACTGTGGTTTTGCCAATTGTAATGGTTGACGGGTTTTAAATGATTAATCTTTTTATTATTGAGTTGGGATGTCTTCATATTTGGTTCTTCAATTAATCCCAGGGGTTGCCTGGTACAGATTCTGTGGTCATATGAAGAAGTATAAAATTGCTGATACACACATTTCTCTTCTTTATTCCCATTTAAGCGTGAACCCCCTTCAGATTTAATCTACCCCAAACCCTGTAAGTGACATCTCCTCCCACGGGAGATCCTGTCCACCCATCTTCCCAAGTTCCTCGAGCTCCCTGTCTCTCTGGGAATCATTATCGTGATCGAATTGCCCTTTTCGAATCCCTCCATAGCTTCCCTTCACCTCAGCTCCAACCTCCTCCATCTCTGCAACCCATGTAGCATTTCCTGCTCCTTTGACTCCAAGTTGGAGTTTGAGCCTTCAGCCTTCAGGCCCCAGTTCCCCAGGATCTAATGTTTTCTCCTGCAATTATGTTGCCTCGCTCCCTCTCCCTGCTTTCAAGATTTTCCTCAAGACCTACCTCTCTTGGGACGTCCTCCCCACCTGAAAGGCACTTTACAAATGTAATTTGTTTTTCTGTTGTGTGTCTTCAATAGCTTTTCCGAACGCTTCCACCTTCTTGCTTCCCTGTCCACTGGATCCCTCGTCCCCCTTCAGGTCCTATTTCCGGGCATATTCTGTCATGTATTTACTTGTGTTTCATGCAATAACTAATAAATGGCTTCTGGGCAAAAATGAGTCAGTTTCTCAATGATACAAACACCCGAAATTGAGGGGAGGAAGAGTGGGCATTTCTTCCAGCCTTCTCCATGTCAGAGGGGCAATGCTCACAGTAAATCCTGTGAAGAAAGGGTTCTAAACAACGTGATGAGGTGCTATGTCAAACACAAAGATTATTATTTCTTTTATTAGTAATCATGTGGCTTTGAGCTCACAGTCCAGGCTGACTCTCCAGTGCATTACTGGGGGTGGGGGGTGAGCTCAGCATTGTTGGAAGGTGCCATGGTTTGGATAAACTGAGGTCCCCTCTATGCCTAACGTCTCGGTGGTCGTTAAAGATCCCATGTACCTTTTGAAAAGAGCAGAGAGTTTCACTCTCCTGATGTCCTTGGCCAACAATTACCCCCGAATAAAATTGGTCGTTCGCTTAATGGCTGTTTGTGGGACAAATGTGTGCAAACTGACGGCGTTCGCCTACAAAACACCACAGTCACTACACTCTTTACAGCAAATCCTGTAAAGCGTTTTGAGACGTCCTCCCAACACTGTATCAAACGTAAGGATTATTGCCGTAATTATTGTTATTGACTACGCCTTTGACCACTTCCTGTCAACTCCTTCCTTGATCCTCGCACACCCTCCCTTCCCCAAATCTCCCACCCTGCTCAGGCTCTGCACGACCTTGTTCCTCCCTACCTCTGTGACCTGCCGACCGATCCCTTGTCAACCCGTCCGCGCTCTCTGGCTCCAGCCTGCTCCGCACCCCCCTCCCACCCGCCTGGCCCTCCAACCATTGGTGGTTGGGTCTTCAGCCTCTCTGCCCTCACCCTTTAGCACTCCATCCCACCGCCCCTTCTCCTCGCTCCCTACAAGTGCAAGTTGCGGTCGTGATCCTTACCCTTCAGATAACGGCCGCACCAAACAGCGGTCGAATTCCGCGTCGCCCTGCACCGTCGCCCGGGGTAGCTCTTTCCACGCCCTCAGGCCTTCCGCACGGTGGCCGATCAGAAGGAGTAACGGTGGCCGGAGGCGAGTGCTGTTCGGAACGTCAGGCTTTCCCGCCACGCACGACTTGAAACAAGATAAGCAAGGTTTGAGATTCCGTGCCTCGGCCACGGCATTTGATCTGCCTGCGATAGCAACAGAATTGCCCCGTGGCGCTGTCTGGAACACGAGAGGGATTCGCTCAGTGAGCGTTTCTTTTTTTTTTACGCTGCTTCGCCGGTTGCCCTGGCGGTCGTTGTTCCTGCTCGTTTCCAAGTCGCACGCAGGACGGGCCGCAGGGCGAGGCGATTAACGAGAGCGCTGTCTGAGGCGTGCCTCGGTTTTCAAAGGATTTCTCCAACTTGCTGGGTGGTCATGAGCTTGAAGCACCGGGAAGCCAGAAGGTCGCAGGTTCGAACCCCCTCCCATGTTGGGGACTTTGAGCTCACAGTCCAGGCTGATGCTCTGCACTGGGGAGGGGGGTGGGTGGGGCGGGGGGGGGGGCGGGGTGGAGAGTGCCACATTTTCAGAGGCGTGGAAAACTCAGTTGGGTTTGGAAACGCTTAAGCAAACAGTCGTGGATTGAGCGACAACATTATTCTTCTAATTTTATTTTTACTTCCCCCTCCCCATGTACACACATCTCAAGACCTATCTTTTTGACTGCACGTCTCCCCGCCCGCCCCCACCTCCCCACCCACGTCCCCCTTCATGACAACCGGTTGTGTGTGTGTAGTGCGTTGAGATGCCCCAATAATATAAGAATTCTTATAAATGATATAACCCGTTTCACCTTAGGAGGATGGATGGAAGCTCTTCACGTAGGAGATTTGGTAGGCAAACATGGCAGCCAAATCGCGCACATAAATGTCCCAGGAAATGAACGGCCAAGCTAATCTCGCCTCAATCAAGTCCCGTCTCAAGTCCCTCCTCGTCGACCGCGCCTTTGGTCAGCCTCCTACCCCTTACCCTCCCCGCCCTCCACCCCCTCCTGATCCCAACCAACAGCTCAGGTGCGGATCCCTGACTGTCCAGTGCCTTGGGATGTCCTTCTGACGTGAAAGGTGCTGCGTAAGTGCAATGTGTTGTTGTTGTTGTTTGCCTGGACTGTGAGCTCAAAGCCCTGATGTGGCCACCAAGTGAAGAGTCCTGGGACTGCAGGTGTGTCTCTCGGCCTCACGTTCCACTCAACCTCCGCGATTCAGCTAATGGGACCACCAAATTCCACCCGGTCTTAGCCCTTGAGGCCGTCTCGTTTTAAAACTTAAAATTGTGGCAAATCGCAAGATGGGTTTGAAGATTGAATGAGACGCTGTGTTTCTCGACCTTCCAAAATACCCGCCCCGTGTTCCTGCCATCACGGTATCGAACTGTTTCTGAACTGAGTCCCAACTCTAGATATTGTAGACCAGCGTTTATAACACGGTGGAGCTGAGCCGATGTAAGTCGATCGTGATGTAATACAATACCGCCTTCGCCCACAAAACACAATCGCTGCACCTTACCATCTACCCTGCGAAGCGCTTTGAAACGTCCACCTGACCTGATGTCTCAAAGCGCTTCACAGGATACACTGGAAGGTGAATGGACCGTATATTTTGTGGGCGAAACGTGGCAGCCCAATTGCGCACGGCAGCGTCCCACAAACAGTGGTGGATTGAGCGTCCAAATTATTTGTTTAAATTTATTTTGAAGGGATTATTAATTGATAATTAATTGATTAACAACCGGGTTCCTACGTACTGCTAAGTAAGTGTGTGTGTGTGGAGCAAGGAAACTTGCCCAAAGTTTTGCCCTGCCCGGGAATCAAACCCAGGTCCTCTCGCTTGTGAGGTGAGTGTCTGACCATTGAGCTTCAGCACTCCAGGTGGCAGTCTTAAACAATATTTGGGCATGAATCATGCAAGATCGCACCCTCCACATACTAGCTTCTTGCGTGTGTGTGTGTGTGAGAAACACTCCCTGTAATTTTCTCTCCCTTGAAGCTGCCGACACATATTTGGAAGTGGTTCCTCCACCTTTTTCGCCTCGAGTGTCCCATTCATCATGTCTAGACAGCAGGGGGTGGAGGAGGAGAGCGAAGGGGGTAGATGGAACCAGCTTCAATGTTGAAGCCACTCAACAGCAAGGAGGGTGGGTGGTGTTGGAAGGAAGGGGAGTGTGGGGGTGGAGGGGGTGCGAGGTGGGGGCGGGGTGTGGGGTGGGGTTGGTGGCTACTGCACCTTTTGTGTAGCGGTAGCTTTAATATAAAGAACTATAAACAGTGCCCTTGAGTCAGAGCAAAATACACAAGAGATTCACAAAGAGTAACATGGACTTCGGAACTCACTGACTCATTTTTGTGTCGAAAACCCCCCTCCACTTTTTTTTCGTTTGCTATTTTTTGGGCTATTCATTTACAAAGAAAGCCTGTACTGACTTGTTATCCCTCTCTCTCTCTCTCTCTCTGCCTCTTCTCTTCCCTCCCTCAACCACCACCACCCCACCGCCCACTCCTGCCCCCTCGCCTACCCGCTTGCCCCAATTCCTGAAAGGCCATTTTAATGAAGGAATTTGGAAACCAGTGGGGGGGTGGGGTGTTTTCGTTCCATCAGACCCTTCCCTTGGCTGGAAAAGGACGGTATTTTTTTGCTCAACACCAGGTGGTTGCTAAGATACTGTTTGCAAATTGACTTTGCACTGTCCTTGCATGCAAATATTGAACCGGGGCCACAAATGCTGACTGTACTCGCAAACTACTCTTCGTTTGTCAGCCTGGCTCAGAGCAGTTGTGCTCTTGCCTCTGAGTCAGATGGTTGCCTTCAGCTTCTCTGTCCCCACCCTCTGGAAATCTGTCCTGCAGTCCCTCTGCCTCGCCCCCTTCCTCGCCTCCTTCAAGACCCGTCTCAAGACCCTTCTCTTCGACCGTGCCTTCGGTCACCCTCCTACCTCTGCCCTCCCCACCCTTCACCATCTCCTGATCCCAACCCCCAGCTCCGATGTTGGGGGACCTGAGCTGGGAGTTGGGGTCAGGAGGGGTGGAGCGCAGGGTGTGGGGTGGGGGTTGAAGAGTGGCCGAAGGCATGGTCGAAGAGGAAGGTCTTTAAACAGGATTTGAAGGAGGCAAGAGAGAGGGAGTGAGGCAGAGGGATTGCGGGATAGAG